CCCCACCCCCCTTGGGCCCCCCCCGTGCCCCTGGCCACGGTTTGCGCCCCCCCCCCCCTCCTGCAGGGCTCACTTCGACTCCTCCGATTCGATTCGACACGACTTCGATGGATTCCGATTCCGATTCCGATTCGACATCGGATTCCGATTGGGGATCCGATTTCTGAACGGAGGCTTACTAGCCTGCCGACGTCCATCGATTCGACTTTTCCGGACTCGGCTGCCGATTTCCGCCGATCCGATTCATGTCGATCGCCGATTCGACTTATCGATTCTGGGCTCCCCTGTCTTGGAGCCCCCCTCTTGGACGCCCCCGAGTGTAGACCGGAGCGCGGCTGCCTGCGATGGGTCAGGCTCCATCCCCACTTGGAGGTCAGTGGTGGGGGCACCCCAGAGCCAGAGAGATGTGGCACAGCAGCCATGTCGTTCCCAGAAGTCCTCCGATATGAGTTTTTTACCCCGCGGCCCCGGAGATTCCGGCCCCTTCCGGGAAGGCGGCTCCTTGTCCCAGGTTTGTGTGTTGATGGCCCCGAGTCCCGATGATGGCCCCCGATCGTCGGCGGAGGCTAAGTCCATACGGAGTAAGTTCATACGGGGTGCTCGGTCTCTGTCTTGGCTTTTTCCGTCTGGACTTGGCTTCTCAGGATAAGAGGCTAAGTCCATGCTGTCTACGTCCACACGGAGTTTTCGGTCTCTATAGTATGAGCTTACTCCGTCTGGATTTAGCCTCTCTTGACATCGGCGACTAGAACGGGTGTGGTTACGCTGGGGTGAAGTTTGCGATGTGCACCGTTGGGGCTTAGGGTCGTCTTCTGGTCTGGGCGCGGCAGAGATCTCTGGCACGGTCCTCGCCCGCCTCCCCCAGCGGGTCGCAGACCTGACCATCTGCAGGCCACACCTTTCGGAGCTCCCGACCCGAGGAAAGGAATCGATAGGAAAAGCCGCCAGTGGAAAGGATCGTATCGCCGGAGGTCGGGGTCCGACCCTCTAATTAGGCCTCCTGGATGGGGTCGGAGTAGATGGGGTCGGAGGATCGCGCCGCATCGCCGATGCATCAGCGATGCATCGGCGACGCGGCTCGATGCGGAACCAAATTTCCTCCACGCCGACGTCGCCGATGCACCGCCGACGTCGCCAGTGCATCGCCGATGCATCGGCGATGCGGCGCGATCTTCCGACCACATCTACTCGGACCCCATCTAGGAGGCCTCTGGACCCAAGGCGGGAATTTATCTATATCCACCGCCTGGAGGGTCTGTTTTCGGAGCCTCGGCAGGCGGTGAATAAGGACATATTCGGGCCCCCGGGGGCCGAAATATATCCATATCCACCGCCCGCTGGGGCACCTACACGTCGGTTTCCAGGCGTTGGATATGATGGATAAATCAGCGCCTCGCACTGGACCCCGAGGATCATGTACGAGCGCGCGAAGATCATCCGCGCGGGGAAGATCGACGCCGCCGTGGCCGCCGCGCTCGCGCCCGCCGCGGGGTGAGGGGGCCCGCGGCGGCCGCGGGCCGCGGCGGCGGCCGAGGCTGCCGCGAGGGCGGTGGGCTCGGCGCCCCTCGGCGGCACGCCGCCAGGAGTTGCTCGAGGCCCGCGGGTGTGCACGTCTCGCGGCGGAGCAAACAGATTTCGGGTACAGCCAGGATGAAGTCGGGCCTGTCCCTCTACGGGAGGAATGCTCAAACATTGTCCAAAAGGTAGTCAGGGTGCGATGTTTCAAAACATGTGTTAATTATTATTTCAAAACAAGTTTTTCATGCAAAATCTGCCTGTAGGGGGACACGTCCGACCCCGGGGAAGGGGACCGGGTTGGTATCAGAGCCCTGGATCCCCTAATTGAGCCAGAATCACTAAACCAGGTCTGCCGTAGCTGGTGATTTTTTGGGTGGCGGCAACTCCGGTCAGTGGAACGGGGCGGGGGGGCGTCCCCCAGTACACATTTTTGAACCAGGTGCCATTACACCCAGTTCTGCCAACGCCCGAAGATTTGCCTGACCCTGGTTGCGCATGTTGCTCTCGACTTAGCGCCGGCCACACCACCGATTGTGCACGCTGCTCTCGCCTCAGCGCCTGCCACATCTGTTGTTGCGAACGTCACTCTCGCCTCAGCGCCAGCCACATCCACGACTACGACGGCTGCTGTCGACTCAGCGCAAGCCACATTCATGACTGCGAACGTTGCTCTCGCCTCAGCACAAGCCACATCCATGATTACGATTGCTGCTCTCGCCTCGGCGCCGGCAACACCCACGATTGCGAAAATTGCTCTAGACCCAGCACCTGCCACACTTAGAAATGCGAGTGTTGTTCTCGCCAAAGCGCCAGCCACATCCACGTTTGCGAAAGTTGCTCTCGCTGCAGCGCCGGCCACATCCACGACTGCGAGAGTTGCTCTCGCCTCAGCGCCGGCCACATTCATGATTGAGAATGTTGCTCTCACCTCAGCGCTGGCCACATCCATGATTGCCGAAGTTGTTCTCGCTTCAGTGCTGGCCAGAGTCTTCATTGGAGACGAAGAGGGATTTCTCATACAGGTGGCACTTTCGCGTTGCATGTTGCTGTGCCACCCCGTTTTGGTGCATCATCTGCTACGTCGCGCGCGTGCGACTCACTGGTGTCGCCGCGCGCTACGTTGGTCACGTTAGCTTTGACGGGTCAGGTTAGATTTGGCGCAGTGCCGACAGTGCCTGGGTCAGGTAAGTTTGGGGATTTACCAGGTTAGGCGGTCCTGTAGATTCGGGGAAGCGTAAGACTCGAGTAAGCCGGAACTCGGGTTTGCCGACAATTTTTGACGAACGCGTCCTGGATTTTGACGGTCAAGTTTTCGTGGGATGTCTGCAGCGGGAGCTCGTGTCAAATTTCAGATTGGATCTCGTCATTTTTTTGATGGCCCCGTCAGGCCAACCCGAGTCCCCCGTACCCGAGTCTTACGTCTCCCCCGTAGATTGCGAATGCCTTACGGCCGGTGCCGCCGACCCTGAAGACAACTAAGATGAAAAGGAGCGGGGGGCGGGGCGGAGAAGGAGGAGGAGTGGGGGGAGAGAGGAGTGGTGGAGGAGGCGGATGAGGGAGGAGGAGAGGGGGGAAGAATGAGGAGGAGGAGGCAGAGGAGGAGCAGGAGGAGGGGGAGCAGGGGGGGGAGGAGGAGGTGGAGGAGGTGGAGGAGGTGGAGGAGGTGGAGGAGGTGGAGGAGGAGGCGTTGTGGCATTCTGGAGTCTTGGAAACAGCTTTTCATGGTTTCGGGTGCGCTCGAGGGGGAAACTGGGCGGCGTCCTTTGGCCGTCTGGGGACCCCCTTTGGCCGTCCTTAGGCGTTCTTGGGCTGTCTTCTGGGGCTTGGACCGTCTAGGGGCGCTCTTGCGGATCCGTCGTGGCGACCCCCCCCTCCTCCAGCGCATCTACAGAGGGCCATTCTGTAAAAGCCGCAAACGGGGGATGCGAATATGACCCCCCGCCCCGCTGGGGAAGGTACAAAGGGAAGGTGCTTCCCTTTGACGTGACTATGACGTGGGTCGATTTCCCTCAATCCCTGGACTCCTCCCCCCGACGACGGGAGAGTGCTTTCTCACCCCCGACGGGGAAGGATAAACAGAAAAGGTGCCCCGTCGACGGGACCAGACAGACACTCCACACGCCGACAGGGTCGGCGGATTTGCTTTTCAGCGGATGCAGTAATCATCGCTGGTGCGGCAGGTTCGTGCCGTGTCGACGCTGCGGAGACCCAAAGCGCGGGCGCTCAGTGCTGCGCGCCCAGAGTGGCCGCAGAGTCGGCCGGCAGCTGACATCTCCGCCGTCGCAGAGCCGCGGCCGCTCAAGGCGGGACGGTCCACGCGGTGCCAGAAAGACCGACGCCGAGGTCGTGGCGCCACGGGCCCGGCGTTGGCGTCACGCCAGCATGCCGATGCGATGTGTGCGTCGCCCCCCAGGGGCGACGCGCGGTCCGAGAAGAACTCGTGCAGTATAAGCCCCGTGGCGGGCGCTGTCTGACCACACCGCTCGGGAAACGATCCACTACAAGATGGTCATGCTAGATGCTCGGGTCGGACGCATACCTCAACGGAGTACACGAAGTATTTTTTTATTTCTCGCGTCCCATGCCGTACCGTATCTGCTCCTCGCAAGCCGTCTCTGCCTTCGAGAGGGGGGCGCTCCAGAAGGGGGGGGCTCGCCCTCGGCTCACCTCGCCCTCGGCGGAAGCCGGCGGACGTCGAACAGCGGCGGCCACGCGGGCGGAAGCATGCGGAAGGCGGCGGAGGTAGAAGTGAGGCGACGACATTCGGCGGCGAGCGAGGGGGAAAATGAGAAGGAGAAGGCCTTCTCAGAAGAGGGCGGGGCTTCTCAGAGGGGTCCAGCCTTCTGAGAGGTTTCCTGTGTGTCTTCGGGGAAGGCTTAGAGCATGACTCGGAAGGCTGGAGGACTCGCGAGCCTTCTGAGAAGCCCGCCCCTTCTCACTTCCCCCCCCCCCTCGCTCGCCGCCGAACAGCATTCTTTGTGTTCAGGGTTTCCGGAGTCGGCCAGATGGAGATCTTTTGCCCCACTTGTCGGGTGTTGCCAGCAGTTGCCCTGGCCCCAGGTGGCCCCAGATTTCCCAGGGAGGCTCCTATGGCTTCCAAAGTGCCTCTCACGAGGCCTAGATCATCGAGAACAAAAGGACACCTGACCCTAATAAGACGATGAAGACGTGGCCTTACTGAGGCCCCCGTCTTTGCGTCAGGGATAACAAATCTGCACGATTTGTCTCGACACGCCTGCAGAACAAAAAACGGCCCCCTCAGATCCCTGATGGGTTTGGCCTTCCTAAACTCGGTCCCCTCCCAAAGGGTTAGGGCTCTTGTTTTGGGGGGTTGCTCGCCAGATGGCCTCAGGGGCCACAAAGCACAGCGCGACGAGCTTGGGGCGCGTGGGGGCCAGGACCCTCTCTGGCAGCACCCGGAGCTCTCCTGTCCTCCCGTCTCTGCGTCCCGCGCCTGGCCGGGGGGTCGGCCGCCGCCTCAGCCCAGAGCGCATGGTGGTGCAGCACGAGGACCTGCTGGCGCTGAACAGCCACGACCTGGCTCGCGCCCGCGCCGCCGGCGCACTCCTCGCGCGCCCTCTCGGGTTTGGCTCCGCCGCGGCAGCGGTCCTCCCTCGCCCTTCCCTTCTCCCTCCCTCCCCCCCTCCTCCCCTCCCTCCCTCCCCTCCCGGATCCCTCGTCCCTTCTCCTCGCGTCTCCTCCCTTCCTCGACGACGTGGTGGTTGCGCTTCGCCTCGGATGCCTGTCTCGATTGGCTCTCTGGGTTGACAGAACAGTCCCAAACAGTCATCCTCCTTTCCTCCTACCGCCTCCTCCTTCTTCGCCTTCTGCCCATCCTGGCTCCCTCTTCTCCTGGGAGGGGGCGGGGTGATCGACAGGGAGGGCTGGTGGGGTGAGCAAAGAATAGTTTGGAGGGGGAAGAGGAGGGTGAGGAGGGTGAGGAGGAGGAGGAGGAGGAGGAGGAGGAGGAGGAGGAGCGAGCGTGTCCTCAGGTCGGTCGAAGCGGCTACGTCGCAGTCGGTTGCATTCGGTCGGTTCGGTTCGGCCAGTTTGTTGCGTCGTTGCCGCGTCGTTGCGCCCTCTGGAGCTGCATGCGACCCGTCGGTTTTCGGTTTCAGGATCGGGTGTTCCAGTAGTTCCTGTTGGCCTTTCTTGCGGTGCTTGGCCCCCCAGGACCTCCAGAAGCTGCCGCGGGGACGCCCGGTGGCCTCTAGGGACCTCTCAAGAGACCTCCAGCATCACCAGAGGCCCACGTGAGACGGAGGCGGTGGAGGAGGAGGAGGAGGAGGAGGAGGAGGAGGTGGAATACGATGGGGATGATGATGAGCCGTCCTGCTGCCTCGAGGCTTGGAAGGCCTATCGTTCTTCCAAGTTGTTCAATAAGCGTGGGGAGTAGATCACGTGGGGTGTAGGGATGGTTTGTTCTTCGCGATGCGCTTCGGGGTTGGATCGCTTGAGGGGGTTGGTTCGGTGGGCGTGGGGGGGCCAGAACGGGCTGTATAGCGGGGTGGCATGGGGGAGATGCTTATTAAACAACCTGGAGTACGTACACGTTTGCCGTCTTCGATTGTTGACCAGGTTCGGTTTACAGCACAGCGCGTGCAGATGGATGAGGATGAGTGGGAGGGGGTGACGAGCAGTGACGTCAGCAAGGGTTGCAAGTCCATGCGAGGCCGTGCGGTCTCATTCCGTACCATTTTGCCTTCCTTCCTTTCTTTGCCGCACGTTGTTCACGTTGTTGTTGCCGTGTGTTGTTGTTGCTGCTGCTACTAGCGCTCATCCTCATTCTCATCCACTTTGTTCCCCATTCGTTTAACAGTCAACCCGCACCAGAAGGATCCATACACAATTTTTCAAGGTCCGAGGCTCGGATTTATCAATCTCAGCCGCTTGGGAATCCGATCTTCTTGTACCTTTGGAGGGGACGGATATGGCTGCGCGGTATACAACGCATAAGTATGTATATGTACATGTGTATGTACAACTATAGTCTTCATGTGTCGCGCATCCCCACAAGACCGTTCAGCAACGTTGCACATGAGAGCTGACGGGGAAAGGAACGAAAACACACATATAGTGAAACTCAGCAGGCAACCAGGATGAACAGAGAGATCTCTGGGGGCAAGGGGGTGGCATTGGAGGGCCTCGTCGGGCCATCCACGGGGCCCGTCGGGGGCGAGGGTATGAGGAGGAGGAGCAGGCAACCCGCATCTTGAGGCCCTCGTGGGACGCTCTTGGGGCGCTCTTGGGCGCTCTCGGGGCCGTCTTGGGGCCTCTTCGGTCCCTCCGGGGGCTCTCTTGAGGCCCTCCTGGGAGCCCTCTCGGAACCATCTTGTAGGGTGTCGATCAAAGGAGTGAAGGTCTCCGATTGCCGCCCCCCCCTGGGGCCATCAACGTCGCCCCTGGGGGCCCCGTTGGGGCGCTCTTGTGCCGCTCGTGGGCGCTCTTGGGGCCGCCTGGGCGGCCTCTTGGGCCTCTCTTGGGCCTGACTTTGGCCATCTCAGGGCCATCTCGGGGCCTCAAAAGCGCATCGGAAGCGAAAAGGTGATGTTCCTCTTGGGGGGATCTTGATAGGGGGCTCCGAGAGCAATGGGAGCCGTCTTGTGGCCTCGTCGGGCTTCTTGGAGGTATGCCGGAAGCCATCTGAGCCATCTTGAAGGCCATTATGGAGCATCGGACGCCTTCTTAATGCCAATTGGGGCGAAACAAAAACATCTGCCACCTCGCGCCCCCCGCCGAAGAACCCCTCTCCGACGGTAAGAGGGTCTTGTCAGAAGAAAGAAAGATATCGCCAGACCACGTCAGTCTCAGGGGCTGGTGGGACTACACACATGTATAGAGAGAGAGAGAGAGATGCGCGGCCTCATGTTCCAGCGGTTATGATGCTCTGAACGGTCGCCTGCGCCGAGTAGAGGGCAACGAGCCCGCACTCGACTTGACAGGCATACATCAGGAAGGCAGATCGACATCGTCCGCAGAGAAGATCGGCTGGCTCTACAAGATGGTCTGCTCCTCTGCGAACGCCAACGGCGGCTTGGGAGTCCGGCTGTGGATCTGGCGTGCAGCGTCGTTGCAAGTGCTGGCATGGCAGTCCGTCTCTCCGCGCCTGCTGCACTCAGGAGGGAAAAAAACACACAGACACAATTAATCGGCGATTCCCAGGAAAATATGGGAAAATATGGGAAGTGGTGGGGAAGACAAAAACCCAGAAAATATGAGAAAATATGGGCGATATTTTTATTTGTGTGTATTTATTTGTGTGTCCCAGTTCCCCTTCATGCACGTCGTGTTCGGCACATACGGTGTATCGTTCTTCGTTATCGTAGCTCACGGCCCCATCGACGTTGTTGATGACACGGAGCGCTGCGGCTGGAGGGGCGCTCTCATCCAGCACACAGCCCAGTTGCTCTCCAGGTACGCCGGGATGGACTTCCTCCTGCCAGTCGACGCCAGCTCCCGTCTCGGCAGCAAACCCTGCGCGGGCATCGGCCTGGCCGCGGTTCAGACAGAGCACAGGAACGGGCCACCCTTCCGCGCATGCCTCGAGCGCTTCGCCCTGGTCTCCCTGGCAGCTGCCAGCACACCTTGCACCACGCGGCAGTTGGTCGTGCATCGACTCCGTTGCCGCCCCGATTCACGACCTTCTCACAGGTGTCATGGTGCAGAACGGTCGACGACGTCGCCCTCACCGTCGGCACGACGATCGATCATGCCGCCGTCAGCGCTGGTCTCACGATGGCATCGACTGCGGCGTAGGTGCTTGTGGTCTGGCCGCCTTTTACCATGCACAAGGCCCTTCATCAGTGTGATCGCCGCTGCGAGGTTTCCCTCGAGGTGCGTTGGTCCTCCGTCGCTAGTTGAGGACGTCAACACAATCATGCGCGACGCAGCCCTGAACACTGTAGAAGGCTTCAGTGACCTGCCCAACAAGTAGTGGATCTCGTCGGAGAAGTGGCGACACATGCGCAACATATCCCCGCTTCGTCCCGCACTCGCCCCTGGGCTGCAGATGCCTTTCTGGCAGCGGCCCGCCGTCGGATTTTTGATCGGAGGCACGCCGTGACATCGACAAACAAGTTATTATGTCAAGGCGTTGTCACCGATGCGTCTCGCTCCTTGCCCTTGCTCAGACGCGCCCAAGCGAGGCCAAGGCGGCGATCCTCAACATTCAGCATCGCGCCCGTCCTTCCCTGGAGCCTGATCGTCGGGAAAATTCTTCGATAACCTGGAGAGAAGGGCACAACCGCGCCATGGGCCAGGCTGATCTCCGCACGGCGTATTCAGGCATCATCTCGTTGTCTGGAGCCCATCTCCAGGCCAGCCTTGTCATCGATAACCTCGACGGCACTTCCGCCCTCGATCCTGCCGACATCGAAGCGCGGTGGACCGATCCTCATGCCACCGCGCGCAGTGGCCAGAGCACGTCGACGGCAGTGCTGGTGCTCGAGCACCCCGGTGATCCTGCCACCCTCTCCGCCGCCGTGCTCGACGCCGGCTCTGCAGCTGCGCAGGTGGCATCTGCCCAGCCTGGGCGGAACCGAGGTGTCGGACGTGAACGCATACAGTCGGGGCGCTGAAGAAGGAACCCTTCTCGTTGAGGAGGGGCTCGGTGTTCCTTGATTGTTTCACAGTTTACCATAGGCTTTTTTTAGGCTTTCGAAGGTAAATCGAAGTTAAACTTGTGGGAAAAGGGGCGGGTTCCTTAGGTCAACGCCCCGACTGTACCCGCTGAATTTGTTGCTGCACTTCTTCGCAACTTGTTTCGGGGAAAGCGTAAGGCTCGAGTAAGCCGGAACCCGGGTTTGCCGACCTCTTTTGACGAGCGCGTCTTGGATCGATGACGGTCCCGTCTTCGTGGGGCGTCCGCAGCGGGAGCCCGCGCCAAATCTCAGATTTGGGTCTCCTCGTCATGCTCTCGGATGGCCTCCGTCGGGCCAGCCCGGGTCCCCCGTAATTACCCGAGCCTCACGCCCCCCCCGATGCTTCCCCGCTTCTACCCCCAGCGACGAAGCCCAGCGGCAGCGAGAGAGGCGGCCGCCGAGGGGGGAGGGAGGGGGGAGGAGGAGGAGAGAGGAGGGAGGAGGAGGAGGAGGAGGAGAGGAGGAGGCGGAGCAGGAGCAGAGGAGGAGGACAGAGGAGGAGGAGGAGGAGGAGGGAGGGGGAGGAGGAGGAGGAGAGAGAGAAGGAGGAGGAGGAGGGGAGGAGGAGGAGGGGAGGAGGAGGAGGAGGAGGAAGGAGGGGGAGGGTGAGGTGAGGGAGGGGGAGGGAGGGGAGGGAGGGAGAGGAAGGAGGAGGAGGAGGAGGGGGAGGAGGAGGAGGAGGAGGAGAGGAGGAGGAGAGAGGGAGGCGGAGGCGGAGCGAGGCGAGGCGGAGGCGAGGCGGAGGCGGAGGCGTAGGCGAGCGAGCGAGGCGAGCGGAGCGGGGGGAAGGAGGAGGAGGGAGGAGGTGGGAGGAGGAGGAGGAGGAGTAGGAGGAGGAGGGGAGGATGAGGAGGAGGATAGGATGGGTGGAGGAGAGGAGGAGGAGGAGGAGGGGAGGAGAGGAGGAGGAGGAGGAGAGGAGGAGGAGAGGAGGAGGAGGAGGATAGGAGAGAGAGGGGGGGGAGAGGAGGAGGCGGGAGAGGAGGAGAGGGGAGGAGGAGGAAGGAGGAGGAGGAGGAGGAGGAGGAGGGGGGAGGAGGAGAGGAGGAGGAGGAGAGGAGGAGGAGAGGAGGAGAGGAGGAGGAGGAGGAGGAGGGGAGGAGGAGGAGGAGGAGGAGAGGGAGGAGGAGAGAGGGGAGGAGGAGGAGGAGGAGAGGAGGAGGAGAGGAGGAGGAGGAAGGAGAGGAGGAGGAAGAGGAGGAGGAGGAGGAGGAAGGGGAGAGGGGGGAGGAGGGGGGAGAGAGGGGAAGAGGAGGAGGAGAGGAGAGGAGGAGGAGAGAGGAGGAGAGGAGGAGAGGAGAGGAGGAGGAGGTGAGGAGGAGGAGAGAGGAGAGAGAGGAGGAGAGGAGGAGGAGGAGGGGGGGGGCGCACGCAGCCAGCAGCTGCACGCAGCTGCTGGCTGCGCGTGGGGCGCCTGCCGCCCCTCGCGGCACGCCAGCAGCGACCACCAGGACCCACGACGCGCGGGCGCGGCCAGGGTCCAACGGCGAGGCGGCCGCATGCCAGCGCGAACGAGAGGGGTAAGTACGGAAAGAGCGGGTGCAATGCCCAACAGCGCTCGCTGTCGGTGTCGCCGCGGCCTGTGCACATTTGAGACAGGAGGCCGCCTGCCCAGCAGCGGCCGCCGTTGGTTTGGGACAACCTTTACTTTTGGGCATTGTACCCGTTTCTTCCGTACCCATGTCGGGCGTCCAAAGCATGCCAGATGCGTTCATATAAATAATGGTGCTTCCGCAGCGTGTGCGACAACCAGCGGGGCATCCTGCTTGCCGGCCCCACTGCGAAGGGGCTGCCCTCTGTCATAAAGGGTGCCGTCGATCACCAGCACTCTGCTCACATCCCACACTTCATTTACGGAGCAGTAGCCAGACGCGGCACCGACGATTTCGGTAGCAAGTCATGGGAGCCTCGTATACCTTCTTAATTCCGTCTCTAGCGTCGATTAGTGACTGGGAGTTGATGAGGTAGCGTTGATGTTGCATCGGTTAACGTCGATTAGCGTCGATTTAGCGTCGGTTAGCGTCGATTTAGCGTCGATTTAGCGTCGATTGGCGTCGAGTCGCAACAGTCGACAAGAGAGTATGGGAGGCTCCCATGAGTTGCCGGCGAAGACGATGCATCCATGGTGATACGGCTTCTTGTCGCGTTCGCCACCTAGTCCCGGAGGTCGATCTTCGTGCTGTTTCTTGTCTTGGTAAAGGTCATCGGCAAAGTCGTTCTTGAACTCGTTTACGGCTTCGGCCCCGCCGCGCCGGCTGATCCTGCTGCGACGCCAGGGGCTCTGGGCGTCTCCCACCGCCCCGCAATCTGGATCGCCGATTGTCCACTCGTCCACTGGACCGTGCTTCTGGAGTGTTGGGCCCGCCCGAAAGCCCCCCGATCCCCCGCGTAGTTTGCTGTTGGGTCTGACGGCCCCCCTGTGACGGGCCGCAGGGGTGGGCGGCAGGCCTGCAAGCTATAGGTGCCACCACCTTCAACTCCCACTACGCTGTCGCCCTTTCCTTTCCTCACCACGTCTGCGCGGAGAAACGCCTTGCGATCTACTTTCGCGTGCCTGGCGCGGCCTGCTGGGACATGCCCCGACCTTTGATGCCACTTTCATTGGCGACGGAGCGATTGTGTAAATCGCCGAGTCTCCCCAACAGCTGGGCAGGGCCATCGCGACCAGTCCTGATCGAGCTCTTCGACTGCTTGCACTCGGAGCTGAACTGAAAACCTGGGAGGAGCGAGTGTCTCTCGAGGTGCCGCGGCGAAGTGGCCTCTGCGTACATGCAAGGTCTTCGGGCCGCCCTGGCGGTCAATTTGCCACGCCTGTTCCGCATCGCCATGTTTCGTGGTTGTCCGTAGCGCAGGAGTACAATCGGGCCGGACGACAGGGGGGGATTGGAAAACGGGGGTTTACAAAATCTGCTGCATGCAGCTGGTTTCGGCCCCACCGAGGGGCCCGATCCTCGATACATAGCCGCCCTTGGCGCTGGGAGGCGCCGGGAAAATCAGCTACGCGAGCTGATACTCAAACCCCCCCTTTGCTATCCACCCCTTTCGCCCGGCCCGATAAGAGCATCTCTGCTGGTATGTGCGCGTTGCTGGCAGCGGGGCCGCATTCCCGAACGCCTATAGCGCCGGGCGCATGCAGCGCGCTGGCGTGCAGTGCCTTTGGCTCCGAGCTGCCCAGCCCTGCGCACCGCCTGGCACTTCTGCGGTAGCTCGTGCTGTTCATTTTCCTTCCGCGGTGCGCAGCCCTGCGCTGTGATTGCCCGCGATACGGCTGCCACGAATGCGTGTGGCGCGCGGGCGCGCGTGCCTGGGCGCACTGCTGGGATACCCAGATGTGCCCCGGGGGGCAGCACTGACTTCCAAGTCTGGGAGCAGCTGAGGCAGCCGAGCCTTGACTGCGCGGTGCCCTAACCGCCCCCCTGAGCCTTGACTGCGCGTGTGCTCGCCTGGCGTGTGCCGCACGCGTGTGCCCTAGCCGCCCCCTGGTCATATTGCCCTCCTGCATCGCCGATTTGACGCTGAAACGTTCAACCAACCGTGTGGTAGGCCAGGGAATTATTATTGGTTTACTGTTTTTGTGCTGCGCCTCAGCTTTGGTACGGCAAGACCAGGTCGAGCAGAAAGTGGCAACGCATGCTTAATGGCGTGTTCTCTCTTGAGTTCGGTTGCCACAGGCAGAAAAGTATGCCTGGCCGACCGTGCTTTTCCTGCCCAGACTGCGGCCGTGAATTTGCCGCATCTCGATCATTGGAATCCCAGGTGCTCATTTATCATGCAAAGCGAAATGTCATCCTCGAGTGTTGCATTTTCGGTTTTCTGCCCGTGTGGCCGTGCCCAGCTTGTACGGCGAGTTCGATGTCTGGCGCATTGGTCGGGTTGTCGCCGCCTCGATGTGAGGAACCGTTTTTTTCCGAAATTGGTGTTGTCTTCCGGCAGGGACTGCTGCGAGATTCGACTTGCGCCGACAAAAGAGTTGCGTCGAGCTGCGAAGCGTAGTGGCTGGCCCCATGTAGTTGCAACAGGTGCGGAGAGGAAAGCCGCTGGCAAGACACCGGGGCGTGCCGCCGCGCGGTGGGTAGCCGCGGCTGTTGGCGTGCTTGCTGGCGATTCTTTGGCCTACACAAAAACCCGAAACAACAGCATGATTCATTTGCATAGTTATAAACATAGTCGTTTTTTATACATGTTGTATGTATGTATGTATGTATGTATGTATGTATGTATGTATGTATGTATATGTATATATATACATATATGTATATGTACCTGTGTAAATATACATAGTTGTGCATAATTGTATTTATATATATATACACATTGGTACCCATTGATATCCGCTGCCCTCGTGGGTCCCAGGGCAACCATTCCCCAGCCAGTGTACACGGATGAACCCCCGCCTCGCACGCGGGTGCTCTTGCAACCTCGCCGCTCGGCCCGTCCGAGCTGTTGGAGACCACGGGCCACGGGCCTCCAGCTCTGGCAGGGTGCCCCAAGGGCTCGCACCCGTGCCTCTCATCCTCACGATCCAGTCGCGCTGCGCCCGTGGTGTGCCGAGCGTGCGCGACGCCAGCTGGCGCCCGACAACACCATCGACCTGGTCGTCGCAGACGCGCAGGACTGGCCACGGCCTCCCTCTCCTCTCTGCCCGTCTCGCGGTGCCTCCTCGCGCCCCTTCCGGGGAGCGTTCGAGACCTCTTCCACGGGCACAGATGGCTCCCCAGGAGGTTGGAGGGCTTCTTCTGAGAAGCCCCGCCGCCTCCCAAGAAGGCGCGCCCAGGGGGTAAGCCTTATGCTGTTCCAACCCACTTTCTCGCTTTGACCACCAGAAAGGGTTTCGAGCACCAGGAAAGTACCAAAAAACTTGTGAGGTTTCACGACTCGGGCCCTGGGAGGCGATGCTCGTTCGACGCCGTTTCGACACTTTTCCTGGGCGCTCGAAACTACATCTGGGATGTTGCGGGCAGTACTTACATCCATATCCAGAGCGTCGTGGACTTTTTGGGAAGAGGTGCCGCAACGCCGAGGCGCACTGGCTATGGATAACAACAAGCCTCTTGGGGCCAGATTTTTATCCATATCCATTGCGTCTACGGTTTCTGGGGGAGAGAGCCCAAGAATCCAGGACGCACTGGATGTGGATATAATTATTGCCCGCAGATGTGGTCCTGCAGTGCGATGCTGGCAACCGAAGGGTAAGGGAAGCCAGCGGGGGGCGCGCCTCGCCGCCGTCCGAGAAGGGCGTTTTTTGAGAAGCCCCGCCGGCTTCTGAGACGGCGCGCCCAGGGGGGCAGCCTGCGGGGGCGCGCCTCCTCGGCAGGCGCAGAACTTCTGCGCCTGCCGAGGAGGCCTTCTGAAGGCCCCCCTGGCCTTCGAGAATCCTTCGAGGCCTCCTGCAAGGGCACGGAGGCCCCACGCCTTGGGACAGACAGACAGCACCACCCTGGAGGGTTTCTCCGAAGCGCTCAGGCGACCCCGCCTCCTCCTCCTCCTCCTCCGCCTCCTCCTCCCCCTCCTCCTCCTCCTCCTCCTCCTCCTCCTCCTCCTCCTCCTCCTCCTCCTCCCTCCATCTCCTCCCCTCCTCCTCCATCTCCTCCTCCCCCTCCCCCTCCACCTTCTCCTCGCTGTCTCCTCCTCGGGTCGTCTACGGCCCCTGGGGGGGAAACCGTCCACCCCATCCATCCCCCCCGATAGTACATCATCCCCCCCCCCTTAACCTCTGAAAGGTTATTATCCCTGGCCAATACAGATTTGGTCGGGGGAGAGGGGCGGCAAGGCCGAACTTACGCACCGCGGGGCAAAGTTGCGAATCGAAGTTGCGATTTTCCTAGGCTGTCTAGCAATCTCATCAAACACGCATGACATGGCAATGGGGGTCTAACCAGCTCAGTTTTCGCAAGTCACGAACGTGTGGCAGGGCCATGGGGTTCTCATCATTTCAGCTTTCCTAAGTCACGAACGTGTAGACAGTTGTCAAGATCGCGGGCCAGCTTTGGGATCTGCAGAGTGATTTCGTGCAGAGTGCGTTATCCGCATCATCAGCATCAGCATCAGCATCAGCATCATCATCATCAACATCACCACCACCACCATCACCACCATCATCATCATCATCATCATCATCATCATCATCATCATCATCATCATCATCATCATCATTACCACCATCCACATGATCATCAACCTCAACAACAATAGCAACAACAACAGCAGCATCATCAACAACTTCAACATCGACATCCTCATCATTCTCGCGGTCTGCTGGGAATCCGGTTATCATCTCTCCCTGGACCCCGAATGTTATTATCTCCCGGGGCTCATTATCAGGGGTATAGGGTTAACGCCTTCCTCCTCCTCCTCCTCCTCCTCCTCCTCCTCCTCCTCCTCCTCCTGGGAAACGTTCGAAATCTCCAGCTGTTCGAGGGCCTCCCGGCAGGCCGCGGCGGCCTCTCCCGAGAAAGCCCCGCGCGCCCCTTGCGAGCAGTGCGCGCCGCCCCCGGCGCGCTCGCCCCCCCCCCGCCCCGTCGGCGCGCCGCCGCTCCTCTAAGAGGGGGGGGCATGCCGGCGGTAACAAGGCCTCCTCTACTTCCTCCTCCTCCTCCTCCTTTCTCCTCCGCCTCCTCCTCCTCCTCCTCCTCCTCCTCCTCGGATCGCCTACGGCCCCGGGGGGGAAATCGTGCATCTTGAGACGGGGGTCACTGCAAGCGGGGGTCGGCCAGAGCGCTGGATCTTGCAGGATCCTGCGAAGGCCCCCTATGGCTGACCCGGGTTAGCGAGAGCCGCTCGTGGCCAGGAGGCGGCCGCGCATATTGGCTGACCCGGGTTTGCGAAGCCTTGCGTTGCAGTTGTTTTTGCTCCTGCACTGCAGGATTGCTGGCCCGGGTCTGATTGACCCAGGTTAGCAGGTCCTTGATCGGAGAATGAACCCAGCGGAGTTTCTCGATCTGCGCCGAACCCCTCTGGCGCCGCCCCCAGCGTTGAGTCGGGCATGCGGCATGTCCCTCTGCGGTGGGGATGTGCAAGGACAATGGAGAAATACCCTGGCGACATTGCTCCGTACGCTTTTGGCTAGTTAGAGCTGTTTCTGCTATTTGGGGAATTATTGTTCCCCCGAAATCCGCCTGTATCGGGAGCAAGATTACGACACCCACCCCGCAATACTGATGCCAACATATTTTCATTACTCGTGACACGTAATTTGCCTCGGGGCCCAGATGTGCCGACTTCGGGGGGTCGCAGGGGACGTCTTGGACGAGTTGCCAACGCTTCGCGGAGGACGCCTTCGCGGGGGCCCAGCGAGCCCGCCGACTGCGCGCGGCCATAGAGGTCGCCGCCAGCATCGATGATGCTCGTACTCGTCTGCACGGGTGGGACTGGCCCTCGCTAGTCTGCGGTATTTCCAGAAGCGCTTCGTTTTTCCGCGGGACAGCGGGTGCATACAAAAACCGCCAAAACGCATGATGTACACCCGCCCAAACGAAGTACACACCCACCCAGATATTTATACACCCGAGCAAAAATATAACACATGTTTCAAGAAAACGACGTATGCACCCACCAAACCCGGTGCACCGAATACTGGCGTATTTCTAGAGCCGAATACCTTTTGGCGCTGTGTCGCATTGTCAGTGCCTGCGGCGAAAGCCGCGTGGCTGGCTGATATCAGCAAGCCGCGGATTGCTTGCGCGTGCTCCAGGACGGAAGCTTCAGGTTTGTGCGGCCCCGTGCGCGTGGCTTGTTCGGCCACGTGCATCCTGCCAGTCTTGCCGACGATGGTAATGCGACGTCGGGATATCATTCGGGGCCATCCGCGGGCTCTGCCGAATATATGCGTACATAGCTGCTGTAAGGCAGGGCGGGTATCGTTTAGCGCCACGAATCGAAGAAAAAACACCATAAACATAAACTTGTGGCGCCCCGCGCGGATTTCTCGGATCCGCGCCTGGGTCCCCCCCGGCGGCGCCTCTGGTGGCGCGCTCCGCGCCCCAGGAAGGGGGGTCCAGCGCAAATCCAAGAAATCCGCGCGGAGCGCCAACAGTTTTCTGTTTATGCCGTTCTTGCTTCTTCTTTTTCTTTTACTGGCGCCGCTCCCCGCGCGCTCCACGCTCCGCGCGCCACCGACAGGGGGCCCGGTGCCGGTCCAGGAAATCGGCGCAGACCTCTTTTGGGGGCTTCCGCTGGTGCCGCTGGTTGTTATTGCGCGCCGTCTTACCGTCACTGCCCCCCCTCACGTCCTCCTCCACCTCCTCCTTCTCCTCCTCCTCCTCCTGTCAGTATCGTTTATCCAATCCCCATCCCCATCACCTCCGATACCCCCACCAAATTACCACCCCAGTTGGGGATACACCCCTCGAAACCCGAACTGGCCGGCCCATATCCCCATCTAAGGGGGTAAATCGGCCAGTGGGCCCCGGGCCACGCCGCTGGGGATGGGGATCGGATAAACGATCCTCCTCCTCCTCCTCCTCCTCCTCCTCCTCCTCCTCCTCCTCCTCCCTCTCCTCCTCCCTCTCCTCCTCCTCTTCCTTCTCCTCCTCCTTTTCCTTCTCCTCCCTCCTCCTCCTCCTCCTCCTCCTCCTCCCTCCTCCTCCTCCTCCGCCCCTCCTCCCCTCCTCTCTCCTCCTCCTCCTCCTCCTCCTCCCCTCTCCTCCTCCTCTCTCCTCCTCCTCCTCCCCTCCTCCTTTTCCTTCTCCTCCTCCTCCTACTCTCCTCCTCCTCCTCCTCCTCCTCCTCCTCCTCCTCCTCCTCCTCCTGGGCGCTCTGGGGGCGGACGCCGTCCAGGCGGCCAGCCGGAGCGTGGGCGCGGCGGGGCTCTCTCCTGTCCTCGCCTCCGCTCGTCTGTCCTGGCCCATCGCAGGCGGGCAGACATCTCGGCTTGCAGTCGGGGCCCTGAAGAAGGAACCCTCTTCAAGGGCTCCCTCGAGGGCGCGAAGTTATTCGCGCTTCGCGCTTCGCGGTCCTCGTTCCTTCTCCCCCTCCTCCTCGTCCTCCTATTCTCCCTTTGGGAGGGCGGCGCGAGAGCGCGAAGTTATTCGCGCTTCGCGCAGCGCGAAGCGCGAAGTTGGGAGCCCTAGGCTTGCAGTCGGGGCCCTGAAGAAGGAACCCTTTTTTGTTGGGGAGGGGCTCCGCGTTCCTTAAGTGTTTCACAGCTTGCCTCAGGTTTTCCTCTGGTTTTCGATATGAGATCGAGGTTGAACGTATGGGAAAAAGGGGCCTCGTTCCTTGTTTGTCGCTCCTTAGGCCAACGCCCGACTGTATGATGTTCCAACCTACTTTTGGCCCTGAGCACCAGCAAAAATTCCGAGCACCACAGAAGTAAAGGAACTCGAGGGTTTTCAAGTGTCGTGCCCTGGGAGACGCTCGCCCGACACTGTTTCGACACGCTTTCGACGCTTTCCGGGGTGCTGGGAATTATTTCTGGAGTGTGGTCCTCAAGTATGACGGGAGCAACATAAATCTTGGCAGAGAGGCGAACGTTTTTTATTCATTGTTGAGCCGATCGTCGCGGGCCCTCATGCCCCCCCCTCCCCCCCACGTGGAATGGATCTTGGCTGTTTTTGGCGCCCGTTTCGAGCAGGTGGAGTCTCTCCCCCATCAGACGCACCGTGGCAAACAGTC